ATTGAAACGAATGTAAAACGCAAAGTAATTGGCCGATCTGGCTGAAACTTGGTGTATGTTCTGCCAAGATATGCCACTAACTGAAAATAACCTTGATACGCACTAGTAGCGCCATCTCTCTGAATTTGCACGGACTTTTCAAATGACCCTCGTAAGTTGTATTACTAGAATATTTTTGCAATACGTTTGTTAGCTATAAGAATCTTGTCTTGCTTCTCGAACTACGAGTATATCCTTTTCATAAAAAATTGGGTATATTATTGAAAGTAGAATAGAGATAAGCATCTCTAATGTAACGGACACATTTTTTTTGCCGGAGGCATAATAAAAAATCTTATAAGAAACTACAATCAGATGTTATTTTTTTGTGTTTTAAATTATATAGTATGAAGGATTAATACTTGTATAGGATTATTCATTTGAGAAAATGCAAATATTATATGTTCCTAGGTCATTTCATGATTCTAATTAATACCATTTGCCCAATGGACAAGATATAGAATAATAATTTGAACCTCAAAATCGAAAAATTTACCTTCTCTAAATCTTCCAGAACATTTTTCAATTTTATCTATATCATAAATAGAATATTTTTCCTTAGTAATATTTTTCTCTATATATCGAAATTTCTAAGGTATTTAACTTTGTATTGAAAGTGATTTTTCTCACAAAATAACGTAGAATCTAAACGTGTACAAAAATAATTTTTTTTTTAAATCCTTCAACTCTGATATAGAAACTAATTTACATGCATTCTAACATACGAGGTGTGTTCAAAAAGTAACGAGAATTTTTAAATTTCGCGGGTTTGGAGAGTCCGCTTGTATAAAATTTTTTTTTATTATGTTGGTACACATGCCCCTGAAGTACGATAAAATTTTCAGCAATATTCATTGCTTACTTTTTAAGTGGCAGCCGCTAACGTTAGACGTGTTTTTCGAGCTCGGCGATTTTCGTTTGTGAAAAAAAATGGATCAAAGAATTTGTATTAAATTTTGCGTAAAAAATGAAATAAAGTGTAGTAAAGTTTGTCAAATGTTAACAAAGGCATATAGTGAGTCTGCTATGAGTAAAGCAAGGATTTATGAGTGGTATAAGCGTTTCCAAGATGGCCACGAAAACGTTGAAGATGACGAACGACCCGGACGCCCAAGCACATCAACAACCGATGAAAACGTGAAAAAAGTGAAAGAAATGGTTATGAACGATCGCCGAATCACAATCAGAGAAGTCGTCGATGATGTTGGCATATCAGTTGGCTCATGCCATCAAATTTTTTCGAATGTTTTGGGTATGAAACGTGTGGCAGCAAAATTCGTTCCAAAATTGTTGAATTTCGAACAAAAACAGCGGCGAATGGAAGTTGCTCAGGAGTCGCTAAATAAAGTCAATAACGATGCAGAACTACTAAAACGTGTTATAACAGGTGACGAAACATGGGTTTACGGATATGATGTCGAAACTAAGGCTCAATCGTCCCAGTGGAGGCATTCTGGATCGCCAAGACCGAAAAAGGCTCGACAAGTGCGGTCGAATGTGAAGGTTATGCTCACTGTGTTCTTCGTTTTAATGGCATAGTGCATTATGAATTCTTGCCACAAGGTCAAACAATCAATAAGCAGTACTACCTACAAGTTCAACGTCGTTTGCGTGAAGCAATCCGAAAAAAACGCCCGGATTTGTGGCAAAACAATTCATGGCTTTTGCACCACGATAATGCGCCTGCTCACACTTCATTGCTTGTTCGTGAATTTTTGGTCAAAAACGAAACTGTAACGATGCCTCAGCCTCCATATTCGCCAGATATGGCTTCATGTGACTTTTTTCTATTTCCAAAAAAGAGAACATTAAAAGGCCGTCGTTTTACAAGCATAGATGACATCAAAAGCGAATCGCTGAAAGAGCTAAAAGCTATTACAAAGATCGAGTTTCAAAAGTGTTTCGAGGATTGGAAAAAGCGTTGGCATAAGTGTATTGTATCCGAAGGGGACTACTTTGAAGGCGACAACATTAATGTAGATGAATAAATAAATATTTTTTTCATAAAACGAAAATTCTCGTTATTTTTTGAACACACCTCGTATATAGGCTGAGGGATGACAGAAAAACCTTCAAATGACGGGCTGCAGATCTTCATACTACGTTTCAAACGAGAGTTACAAAATTTTTAATTTTATACAATTTTCAGTTTAGGTGGCCAAATCTTTTTAAGTAGAAGTGTATGATGTAAAATAAACCATTACCTATTTTATTTTCAAAGTTATTTGCGGGTATGTATTAATAGTTTCAACCAAATATTTGTACATTCAAATATCCATTGATTTATAATTGTTTTCTCACTTAATGTACGACTTTGTGTTTCCTTATTTAATTTTTTGTGTTGTTATGAATTAACTACCTTTGCTAGTTTTTGAGAATACATACCACACATCACGCAATGGGAAATAGCGACCGCAAATGTGAGAGCAAGAAAGAGAGAAAACAACCGGCCAAAATATTGAGGAGCACACTGAAGAGAAGCATGCGTGTGCACGATGGTAGGTTCGCACCAGAGAAATCTTTTTTGTGTGACTAGAATCGAGAGCGTAACTATGATTCACCAAAAAGTGTGGTGACTAGCTGAGTTCATGATCGTCTATCGACAGCTGGACGTATGATATTGTGACCATCGGAAAACTCACCGTCTGACTCACTCACTGACTGGCACAGCACTGCTCTCCATAGCTGGTAATTCTCATGAACCAGCCAGTACATTAACTGCAGCTACAATGTCCGCCACAAGGTAAGCAATAATCGTTTACGTTGCGAGTGTCTTCATTGTTTGTGCATATGTCGCATCACAATAGTAGTTCGCGGTTAGCAATCAACAAGTGCAATCGCTTATTTTTATATGGGTCATCGCGTGCTTCCAAAACTCTCGATCGAAACTTTATTATATGTTGTTGTTGTCGAAAGTTGAAATAAAGATCGTACCTTATTCTATGATTTCACGGCTTCAACTGCAATGTAATAAATAAAATAACTCTAGTAAATAATTTGTAAGAATATCGGCCTGTTGTAAAGAGCGATCACTTGGATCGTGAATTTCGGCATGTTATGTAGAAGTATATTTCAATTCTGTGTATAAATATACTTGTTTATCTTTGCATACAACATTTTTTAGAGTATTAATATTTTCAATTGATTCTGTACAATCATAGCGCTGGATGTCGAAATGCGAGGAGATTCTAATAATACGATAAGTGACGTATAAGCTTATTAATAAGTGTTTGCTCTTTCGAACTGCTCACGTGTTTCACAAAATTAATAATGAAGTAGGGATCTTCGAGTATTTACAAACAAACTTATGCATTCTAAGAGATGCTCTTGAGTAATTTTTTATTAACGTAATCCATGCATAAAGCAATATATAGATACAGATATGGTAGACAATAAGGAAAAAGGTTCAGTTATTTATCAGATTAATTCTATCAATTGTAATATATCAACATAGGTCAGAAAGGACGTCCATAGATCAGACAAAACATCAATGACGAGTACGTATTAATAAACATAAGTGCAGCGTTGCAAGCACTGATAGCACAATGGATTTGGCTGAACATGCAAACAACAACAATCATAAAATTCAATTTCGCAATGTAAAGATTATTATCGATAGTGTACAATACAAATTTTAATGTTTGATTTCAAAAATGCTGTATAACTATAAAACACATAACAACATAAATAGATAAAATGATACCATTATGTTAAAAATACTTATATAGAATTGATTAATTTGATATGTAACGCGAAAAATTACAATACTGAACCAGATAAACATTACAATTTGATAGACGAATCCACCTTAGGCCAATTTTCTCTTTCCTTCCATTTAGCGCATTTCCCTTCTTTGTCTACTGAAATGTCCAACTTATTCAATTTTATCTTCTTTACATCATTCACTTCAGATAAATACCTACGTGCCGTCTGTCTACCTAATTGTCCATATTTGATCACTAGAAAATATTAGTTAAAGGGAAGATGTCTTTTCTTACACTGTTTGAGACAATTGTGAGCAATCATATTTAGTTTAACAAAAATGGTTGTTCATCATTTGTATGATTGTAGTTCGAAAGATGATACAGAATTAATTTAAGCACAAATGAGTAATATACTAATTATACATTATAATTTCTTTCAACACTATCCCAAACAAATTAATGGTAATTGTATATTTTATTATCAGCCTTGATAACGGAAATTCATTAACTTTCCGAAAGGTTGGTTCATGGATTGTTTCAATATGAAATCGCTCATAAGAATTTCTTGGAGTGCAAGAGGTTGTTTTTTGATGTTCAATAACACCTTTCTTATTATTAACCTTTAGAGGGTGGGAAAACCAGTATAGTGGCTCAAAATAATTTCTCAAGTTTCTCAAGTCTGTAAAATAGGTTAATTTTGGGGTTTTTGGTCATACTGATTACGAATTTGATGTCATAAGTTAAAAATTATGAAACCCCTAAAATAAGGGTAAGCTATACTTTTAGTCGCGAAAATAAACTTTCTATAGTAAGGGAGTGTGAATATAGTTTTCTGAGGTATTATTCAATGCTGAATCGAATTCGAAGGTCAAAATTACGAAAAAAACCATAACTAAACTAGGTACTAACTCCCTGTGCCAAATGAAACAATTTTTCAGTGTCAAAATTAGCATCAGCCCTGAGGACGGGAAAGTCACTATAGTAGCTCGACCGTCCATCACCACTTCACATATGAGTATTCTTCAATATTAAACACACATATTACGCGTTTTCTATAGAAAATACTGAGCAATGAAAAAATCCAAATCCTCGTTCTCTAAAGGTTAATTTTGAAGTATTAGTTCCTTTGTTTTAAAATAAATAGCAAAAAAATTCATTTTATGAGTGAAACTTAAAAGTTTTATAATATATCTATTTTTTAGTGAATCTACCAAATCATAATATGAACTAAGATATCACTATTGACATTTAACTTACCATCATCATTAGGCTCTTCGATCATGGTTTGTTCCTGAAATTTGAATCAAAGATAGGCGATATTAATGTCATTGATCTTTATATTGATATTAATATCATTAATTTATCACGTAGAAAATAAAATATTTATTTCTTATATATACTCTTTTCGATCTTTTACATTTATAACCTATATAAATTTGATTGAAAATAGTTTTCTCAAATTAATAATTCGTATATGATTAGAACATATTTCTTTTTCTTATTCTCTAAGTATTATAACCTTACTCCTCATTTTATGGCCTGGTTATATTCTTGAATAAATAAATAAATAGGCAAAATTTTTTTCTTGGTACCCTTTTCATAATTTGGATTATATTGTTACGTTTACGTATGATGAGCAAAATATGCAAATAACACAAACTTAGAACTTTATTAAAAGGCAGACGTGATGCTTCCAATTTGATGCTCAGATGTCAACTAACTAAACAACAACAATAATATTTACTATTTATTTACTAATAACAATAATATTTACTATTTTATATTGCCGTGGATACAAACGTACGAATTAGATATTATAAATCGCATTCGTAACAATATTTTCTGTGATTCTCAGATTTCCGCAGCTAGTATTAGCTAATATCTCACTTACTTGTTTCCTCACAGCTTCTTCTACTCCCTTTCTTAAGCTCAAATTCACCCTAAGTTTAAATATGCACAAAAATTTCCTCAACTACCTTGTATACTCTGCAGTTAGCGTTTTTAAAATCTTTGTTTGCTAATTTTCTTCTATTTCTATACCTTATTCTAGCCCATTGCTCTTTAACCGAACGCAGATACCCCCATTATTTTAGTATTTATCCCGTCCTATGTTTAAGTTCTATAGTTTATATACGAGGGTGGTCCGATAAGTACTTAACCTACAAAAGAAAAACGAAAATTTTGGAAAAGTGGCGTTTTATTTTTCAACATAGTCTCCTTTTAGTTCGATACACTTGGCCCAGCGATGCTCCAACTTCTTTAACCCGTCTGAAAAATACGTTTCCTCGAGGTCTGAAAAGTAGGCTTCCGTGGCAGCGATTACCTCCTCATTAGACTCAAATTTCTGCCTGGCGAGTGACTTTTTCAAGTTTGGAAAGAAAAAGAAGTCGCACGGGGCTGAATCTGGAGAATACGGTGGATGGGCAGCAGTTCATAGCCTAATTCGATCAATTTGGCCATGGTGACGGCGGAGGTGTGAGCCGGTGCGTTGTCATGGTGGAAGAGCACTTTTTTCTTCGCCAAATGGGGCCGTTTTTTCTGCAATTCGACGTCAAATCGGCCCAGTAATTCGGCATAGTACAGCCCTATGACCGTTTTGCCCCTCTCCAGGTAGTCAATGTAGATCACACCTTGTGAATCCCAGAAATCGGTGGCCATCACCTTTCCGGCCGATGGGGCAGTCTTCGCCTTCTTCGGAGCACTTTCGCCGGATAAAGTCCACTGTTTCGACTGTACCTTGGTCTCTGGTGTATACCAGTGGATCCATGTTTCGTCTACTGTCACGAAACGACGCAGAAACTCCTTCGGATTGCGCTTAAACAGCGTCAGACATTGCTCTGAAGTTGTTTCACGGTTGCGCTTGTTGTCCGGAGTTAGCAAACGCGGCACCCTTCGCGCCGACAGCTTTTTCATGCCCAAAATTTTATGAAGGACATGACCCACGCGATCTTTTGAGATGCCCATGATCTTAGCTATCTCGTGCACCTTCAATCGTCGATCTGCCAATACGAGATCGTGAATTTCTGTCACGTTATCCTCCGTGGTAGCCGTTTTCGGAGCACCTGGACGTGGCTCTTCAAAATTCGACGTGCGACCACGTTGAAACTCGTAAACCAATTTTCGACGGTCGTCATCGAAGGAGAAGAGTCACCGTACACAGCATCCAAGCACTTTTTGATTTCGCTGCGCGATTTCCCTTCCAAAAACAAGAATCGAATCACCGACCGATACTGCTCTTTTTCCATTTTTCAAAAATCAACGGACACACTTGCTTTCACACGCTCTCAAAATTAAAGTACAACTCCAATCCGGCTGAAATCTTGACAGTAACCATCGAGAAGGTTGTACTACGTGATAGAATATTTCTTTTGCGAGAATAGCGCCATCGGGCGGTGAGGCTGAGTACTTATCGGACCACCCTCGTACTCTACAGTACACTGAGTTATATATTTTATCACATATGTTTATTAGTTCTACTGCCAACTAATCCATTAAAATATTATTTAATTTCTTCGATCTATTCTTCTGTTTGTCCTGCATTTTATTGATTCCACGTGATTTCTTTCTTAACCATTACAAAAGTACTCTTTAATTTTTTCTCCATTTCGTTGAATATACGTTTATCAGGATTCGAATTTCCGCTTTTAAATATATTTTTAGCCATCTATCGTTGCTTATTCTTAGTATAAATTTAAAATGGTTTATTGCTCATATTTTGCCTGTAGATTTACGCTGGTTCTGTTGACTATTATTTCCTAAATATAGTTTGGTGTATTTTTATCTAGTCCTATTACTATATTCATTTATTTTTGTTGTTGCACCTTTTCAATTTTATCCCATTTAGACCATCCTAAGATTTTCACACCTTATCTACCTTTATTAAAAAATCCATTAAGTGTAATATTTTCCCTAGCCTTTCTCTATTTTTGTTCTTTCGTGGTAGCTCAGATAAAAATTATCGCTGTGCATATTTTCACTGCTATTTTACTAATGTGCATATTGTAAATTTTCTTGTATAAATAAAAAACTCGATTATTTGAATTCACTCATTACGTTTATTTGTTTATTATTATAATTCTACACGTTCATTTTCTTGAAGACACTCTTAGTAGATAAGCAATGTATGTTTCTAGCCACTTCGTGGGGAGGTTCAGGTGGCTTGAAACATACATAGAGGTTTGCGCATGCGCGCGCGCGCACTGCGTACACATCGTGGGTGGTTATGGAGTGGGTGGTGCCTCCCGACAACCCCCCAGAATGGTTTCTTGACCTAGTCGCGACCCCCCAGAGCCCCCCCTTATTAGTCAATAATATAATGATAAATATTATTATATAGACTGTCAAAGTAGATTTCTCCTATAGAGGTTGTCAAGATAGATCGCTGTAGAAGTAGGTAAAGCGCTTACTATGCTATGCTAGCTAGGTGTGAGCTCTCGGAGAGGGACCAGCATCTCTAGCTTGGTAAGCTAATATACCGGCTAAGCGAATACACTGTATAGCGTGGATGCTACTCTCTCTCTCTCTCTTTCGATTTTAAGAACCTTTCAACCACTGGCATCACCTTGCATTCTCTCTGATAACGCTACACCTCATGCTAAGAGTCTAAAGTCCAATCGATGTTACTTTTTCAATGAAAATGCGCTCTAGCAGCGTGAGCTTCCCTTCTTTTTTTTCAGGGACCGTATGCTTTTCCTATTGTATAAGATATACTTGTATAGTTTGAGACTACTCTTAGTTATCTTAATGCTTTTTTTTACTTAAAGATAAGGTTTTTAAGTTAGCTTCTTGTTGAGTTGCAATAACAATCGACCACATGTTGAGCGTGTAAAACGAAATCGATGTTCCTCTTCCTTTAAATATCTTTTTGCAATTTGACTAGTTTCTTTTTGAGAGCAGAAAATATCCTGATTTTCCAGAAAATCTTTTCCAGAGTCAATCGTTCGCCAGTTCTCAACGAAAATAAACCGCGTTCTTTTAAGTTTCTACTTACTAAAAGTAATTTTACTTATTAAAAGAAATTTTTATTGTGTCTTTTTTTTCTATGTTTTATTGTGAAATTTTCGTGACTTTTTTTGTGAAGCGTTCTCCGTGCTGCGCTCTCCTGATTCGCAGTGTTTACGTTCTACCACGTGTATCTGGTAAAAATGCCATGTTATTTTCAAGTAATACTTGTTCTTGCCCAAGTTTTAGATAAAGTTTAATATAAGAAGGGCGCAGAGTAGTGTATAGCGATTTTATCAAAAGACGCAGCATAATTTCAAGAAGATAAATTTCACCGCTTAACCCACTCCATCGTCCAAAACATTCTTGAGTATTGTTCAGCAAGAAAGAGTCATCTCTCGTAATAATGCTATTGTTATAGATACTATCGAAGGTAAAACCATTCAAGAATATGTTATGGTTTTCGCGAAAGGTCGTACCTTCCAAACAAATCCTGTACGTGTCACGCATCAGCCAAAGCCGTATTTGCTTCTACTTGGAAAAAGTCGCAAATATAGACAGCTTGGTTGAAAAGGGAACAAAGCTACAGATCGATGATCAAACATTGAAAATCAGGCTTCTAACCTCCAAAGCTATAAAAATATTAATTTCTAATGTACAACCATGTACACCCAACTACCTTATTATAGAAGAACTACGTAAAATAGATATAATTCCTGTTTCTCAGCTGAGTACAATCAAAGCAGAAATTCACATTCCTGAGCTTGGTCACTACTCAGTTTTCGAAAACAAATGTTTATCAAACAAGACAATATCGATAAAATTCGAAGTCAACTGAAAATTACGCACGAAGAAGTCAACTACTATATTCATCTGTACACGAACAAAATGATGTGCTTCCAATGCAACGAACAAGGACATCTCGCCAAATCTTGCTCGATCAACACCACTGCCATGCACAAATCACAAAATACTCTCAACTCTGCTGTCCCTGTTCGCAACTTACAAGACATCCTCTACTCTCAAGAAAACTTAGAAATTCTCTAATTGAAAAAGATACTTCATTGCAAGAGAATGACAAATTCAAAACTCCGTCACTTAAAAATAACACCAAAAAACGCCCGCTATCAACTTTCACAGTGATAGCTAATGAAAAAAGTGATGAAAATTCACCTTTCCACCAATTAAAGAATGACAAACTCAGCGAGCCTAAGCATAAAAAAAATAAAGTAACAAATAAAATTGATTTCAACACTCATCTTGAGCCGGCGCGCTAATTCATTGAGCAGAAGGAAAATGGATTTCCGCTTGAATACAACACGTTTCTCAAATTCCTGAAATTTCCGTACC